CCTGTGGCTCAAGTGGCTAAGGTGCCAGCCACATACACCTAAGGTGGCGGGTTCAAATCCAGCCCAGGCCCACCAAAAACAACAATGACAGCTGCAACCAAAAAATAACTGGGCATTGTGGCGGGTGCCTGTGGTCTCAGCTACTTGGGAGGCTGAGGCAGGAAACTCGCTTGAGCCCAGGAGTTGGATGTTGCTGTGAGCTGTGATGCCATGGCACTCTACCCAAGGGGATAGCTTGAGGCTCTGTCTCAAAAAAAAAAAGAAGTTATGTCTTCCAGACACTAAGTGAACAGCGATAGAGACATGTGAAAAGTGTACAAGTCAGCAAAGCAGTAACAGAAGAAAGTGAATATCTTGTAGTTACTCCATCTATGTAGGGAAGTTGCCTGCCAGGGTTTCAGGACATAGAACACAACCCAAAGTTTGAAACATCTAGGGAAAGCCACTGCATCAGTCTAGAGGCCATCAAGGTCACACACATAGAGCTCTCTCCTTCCTCTTTGCTCAAACTCAAGTCACAGAACAGGCCCTTTTCCCCTTGTCCCAGGCCAGGTGCCCACTAAGCAGGTAAGTTTTCCTCCCAGGGTCACTGGAAGAAATGCATACCAAGGAGGATGACTAACCAACCCCATCCCGGTAGGGGAGGGGAAGCAAGAAATGGGACTCCACATGAGGAGGGTCCCATGAGAGCCCTCTGCAGAGGGAGAGGAAGGAAATGTGGTCTAGGAGATGCCATCAAAGTGTGAATCAGGAGGAAAGGCAGGTGGGAGAGAACCTATTACATCTAGACAAGAAAATTGTGTTCCCAACAAATGTAAGCCATTAAATGGGCAAATATAATTATGTAATCTGATGGTTACTTGGCTATTCAGTAAACACAAACAAGGAAAATGTGTTGGCAACAGGAAAATAGGGCAGTATATAAGAGGCTGAGGCCTAGGGAGACTTCAAACTCCAGAACCTCATTCTCCTAGAAACCCACCCAGAACTCCATTCTCTGACACCATGGTCAGCTCCTGTTGTGGCTCCATCTGCTCTGACCAGGGCTGTGGCCAGGAGACCTGCTGCCAACCTAGCTGCTGCCAGACCACCTGCTGCAGGACCACCTGCTGCCGCCCCAGCTGCTGTGTGTCCAGCTGCTGCAGGCCCCAGTGCTGCCAGTCTGTGTGCTGCCAGCCCAGCTGCTGCCGCCCTAGTTGCTGTGTGTCCAGCTGTTGCCGTCCAGTCTGCTG